TGTGTTCATCAGTCACACTGACTCGGTGAACACACCAGCTCTCCGCACCCGTGCCTGACGGCGGCAGTCTACACGCCGATGGGTGTGACTAAGCGGGCACCCATCCAAGTACTAACCCAACTGAGCGTTGCTTAGCTTGGGTGATCGCCGGAGTCACACACCGCCCGCGTAGCTACTGTCGCCGCTTCTTAAGGATGAATTTTTACCAATCAGATGATGACAAAAATAACAATGAAACATTGTAATAACTAAGGTCGCGTCTATAACAATGGTTTATGATCCTCACGGTTATTTAACTCTGCTCGTTGATAACAGCTTTAACCTCGCCAATGAGTGATGTTAATTCAGTCGATGGTTTGTCCTTTGGCAGTTGGATATTGTAATAGGCTCGTTGTAAAAATATCCACAGTGGACGAGCATTCGGTGGATACTCACAATTAAGAGCAAAGCAAATTTTGAAAGTTAAATCGAATGCTCTTAAAACATTACACGTTTCGTAGATCTCATTTTCCAGGATGACATACGTAGCTGTACACTGTGTTAGCGGCCCAACAACGATGGGTATTGGTTGATGCTGAAGAGAATATTTCTCTGTACGTTCTCGTCCTTTTTGTAGAACTTCTTCTAACTCCAGCACATCCTATAAATATGAAAATTTTTTATATGAATTTGAACACTTCTTCCGTGGAAGAAATATAAATACTAACGAACAAATGCACAAAAAAACTCTCTTTTCTTTCTTGATTCGTCAAACGTCGTGGAAGTGTATTTTCACCAGTATCAGCCTTCCTTTTACGCCCTGGTCGACAACTCGGAATTAAATGATGTAACAAAGACAACAAAATCGCATTTCCAGTATCTGCAATCGAAAGAAATATTCTCTACGAGGATGCATTCTCATAAATTAATGTATGGAATAATTAATAAGTCCTTATTATTTACTGTTCTCGATGGTATCCAAACTGTCCAATAATATTTTCTCCTCAGCATTCAATTTTTTACAAGTAGACAGTCTGTGACGTAAATGTGGTACTGTTTTATCCCAATTATCTCTTAGCCTTAGACCAGCCTTGGGATAAAGTTTGTTAAAATCAGCATCGAACTAAAGTTGTCCAGCGTTCCAAAAAACAATATTCCAATCAAAACACTGATCAGTTCGGTTTAAAAAAATACTTTAGTTGAATGGATATTTGTTTTCATGATACGTTTGTAAAAAAAATCAGTTTTAAAAAATCATCTCTTACCAAAGTTCTAGCAGCCTCAACTCGCAAGCAAGCATATTTTTGCAAATAATCTTTCACTGAAAGTTTCTCGTTCATGTACTCATTTAACCTAGCATCATGGGTGTCATTCCACAACTGTAGGACTTTATGCCAAGGATCCAGGAGTGTAATTAGTTCATGCAACTTTTCTTGAAGAGAATCTGTGAAATCAGAAGAAAATTAATTACGCAATTTATAAAATAATAATCTAATTTTTACTACTTACCAGAGACAACAAATAAAGTGGAGCTCGTAGCTCGGTCTTTTGGAGGTTTCAATACGCCATCATCACGTAGTACTCCTTTTACATAACAATAATTACGCCAAAGTTTACCAGTTGCATTTATTGATTCGCCTCCTACCGATTCAAATGGCTGGAAATAAGTAGCAGCGGTTTCACGTGGAAATGTATAAACTATCTCATTGGCTAAGTACTTGAATCGCTCCGTGGTAATTCTAGACAAAATTTTCAGAGACAAATTGTAAAGTTTATGGGAAATAAAATCATAACATCGATAAAATCGAAAGATAGCCAATGCAACTATATCATTACATGAATTCTGTTGTCTGTCCCAGTTCCAATAATTTAATGAACTTATCAGCTTCAAATTTGATAACTATACGTGTAAGTCGAGAACGTAACTTATTGTTCAATAAATTTTCTTTGTCGTATTTTTCTACAACAGCCTTTCCTGCCATATCTTTTTCTAAAAGAGTTCGTAATCGCTGCAATATTATACAGAGGATTAGATTCCATTGAGTTGAACATAACCTTTCATAAATTGAAATTAATATGCGTAGAAGAGAAAAGGATATGGGTAAAATTAACATTTATGAATGAAAAATCACTGTTTATAACTGAGCGAATTGTATTTGACATCTGATATTTTATTAATGGTTGCTAAAATCTCTCTGTTCCCCATGTAATAAGGGTGAATGCAAAAGGCCAACCTGCCTCTAAAAAAATTTTTTTTTTGAGGTAGAAACCATCAACTTTACTCCACTGTCCTCTCATGAAAAGTTAATTGCATCTACTGGGAATTTCATACCCCTGATTGTGAATTTCTCTGATCATTTCCTAATTGTCTTTGGATTAGTACATTCGGTTGTAGACTAGAACGAGTTAATTGTTGAGAAACAGTTGCCGGCGGTAACTGATTGACATTGACATTCACAGGCATAGGTGAAGGTGCGGATAGATTACACGCAGGAATATGTGTTGGATTGCCAGGATTATGTGAATGAGGTAACTCCTTAGACGATGAGGTAGCGGGGGACACAGAGGGACACTCCAATGGCTATTCAAAATGATCGAGCTCATATAAAAATCAAAAGAATTATTTTGATAAAGAATGTGTTTGTTTGAACAAAGATAGCAATACCCAGATGGTGATGGAGGGAGCCCCTGCTTTGAGAGTATTGATATCGGTCCCCTCAAGTGGACTTGAAAATGCTTGTACAGTGCCATCAATATTTGGCTGTATGGCATTGTCAGTATTAGGGATATTCTGAACATCCGAGCTTAAATCGGAGATTGGAAAAATTTTTGGAAATACATCCTCAAACTCGACATATATAAGAGGATTCTCGGCAAGCTAAAATAATAAACAAAAATGTTTATTCGTTTATTTGTCAGAATCATTGAGAGAAACAATGAAATTATAAAAATTCTTAAATTATTATTATTAAGATTCTACCTCGGGATTTAAAGTTGGGAATCCACTCATTACGACTGGAATTCTGGAATTTCATTCGAAACGAAAATTAATGTATAAAATACAGGATACTCATCATGTGGACATGAAAAAAATAGATACTTCAATTTTGATGATATTTCTATATGGTGAGGTTGTTAGTCCAGACATTTACCAATTATTGTATACTTGATTCAAGTAATTTTTTTTTGTCGATATCGATATATAATGGTTAGAGAAGCCAAAAAATCATAACTAAATTCCGGAGTACTGTGAATAGCCTCGCACTAGAAAAATTGAATAAAATATTATTGAAAGATAGTACTCACCTACAAATTGTAATCTCCTCAGCTTCACAACACCACACTAAAAACGTCAACGTCTTAAGCCGATCAGAACACGAACTGAAATACGACAGTTTTCAGAACAAAAAGATGCTCGTGCTCGTGAATGCGGTGACTCATTATTTTCTGATGCTCAATTTTATAATCCTTATTGATTTTCCTCGTGCTATTTTCGTAATATTTAGTTTTGAACATACCAATTTTCAACTGAGGCACACTGAAATCGGAGTAAATTTTAACCACTTAGTGGTCCGTACATTTTATGCTTTTTTTCTTTCTACAAATTGGTATGTTTGGTTCCAAAAATAAAAAATTAAAATGATAATTATGAGAAGGAAAAATACCATATTACATCATTTTTACAGTATGGTCCTCCACTAGTATGTCAACATACCAATTTTTACAACAATATTTTTTCCGTGTAGCTACGAATAGAGATCCGAATCCACTAATTAAGGACAACTCTGCTAGAGCAATAGGAATATTCACCAATGGCAGCAAAACGATTCATGGCAGCTCCGTAAGCTCCGCATTTTTCTGCCCTTAACTCAATGTAGAAAAATCTTTTTTTCTTAATTCTAAAGCCTCGATATGCACAGCTGAATGTCTCGCACTCAGCGAGGCCGTTAATTTTGCTCATGCACATCCGGAAAACAGCTTCTACGTTTACAGCGACTCACTAAACGCCCCTCAATCAATCTCATCGCCGAGTATGAGCATCTAAACAAATAAATGGATCCTAAATATGAAAGACAAATATTGAGAAATAGTCGAAAGCAATGATGGCAACTTAAAGTTCGCATGGGTTCCTTCTCACTCTGGAGTGGCTGGTAACGAGGAGGCTGATCGTCTGGCAAGAGATGCCACAAGATGTTTCAATGATGCTGCTATACCCATTCCATTCAGCATTTCCGTGAAGATTATAAGGCAGAGTCACTGAGTAACACCTTTAAAATGGCAACCGAAATATGTGAGAACAAAGGAAAAAATTATTTCAAATATTACTATGTAAAAAAAAGTAAACCCTAGTTTAAGGGTAAAAAACTGTCGAGGGAAATAGTCTCAAGTGTTAATACACTCAGAGCTGATCACTATGGTCTAGCCCAATCACTCGAACGAATGGGTATGGCTGCATAATCAAGCTGCAGATGTTTTTATGAAGAAGAAACCATAGATCATGTTCTATGGCAATGCCCGCTGTATAACAATTCTAGACAAATCATGTATCAAAAACTCATCAATAAGAGAATATTTCCGCCATACCAAACACGGGAGTTTCTAATTAGACTGGATGAAAGCCTTTTGGTAATAATTAATGAATTCTTCCACAAAAGTTCCTCAAAAATATGAAGCCGACCAACGACTGTTATAATTCAGACTTAAGACTATGTCATGAACAACTTACATGTATATACACTAGCTACTGAATAAGAAATATGTATGCAAATTGACCTATATTGGTTCAGAAATGCTCAAATAGAAATAAAAATTCTCAACAACCAAAAACCAAGAAATTAATTTGCCACAGGTGTAATAAAGAAGGACACAAAACCAGAAATTGCACTGAAAATATTTCCAAAAAGGCAGAGGCAAATAATACTGAATAGATAAGCTTGAATACATTATTCGATAAAACACAGATTCATGAAGGATTCAATGCAATGGTTGTAGAAAAAGGGAAAATGGTGTATTCATAGCGGGACCACAACTCATGCATGCAAAAATGAGAAAATATTGAAGAAAATTACAGATACACGAAGAGGAAAGTTCTACCTTGTTAGCCATGATTCAACAGACATCACCGGGAGAGGAAGAGTGGAATTTACATTGGCAGGGAGTGGAGAACTGAAGAATGTCACAATCCAGGATGTTTCATGCGTTCCAGACTTCAGACTGAATCTTTTTTTCGCAGCTAAACTGACTGATAAGGAATTGGAGGTCAATTTTGACGAAAATCAGCTGTTGTGATTGATAGGACAACAAAGCAAGTGGTGCTCACAGGAAGGAGAGTAAATGATCTGTATTTTTTGCATGAGAGATCACAGCAATGCAACGCTGTCGAACAAAATAATGAAACACTGTAATTCACCGAAACAGAAATTTGTCATTGCAAGATGGGTCACTTGAATGTGAAGGATCTTCGAGAGAGCAACCAAAAGAAAAGCATTCCAGGAATAAACTTAGAACAAAACTTTCAAGAGAAAATTGGGTGTGAAAGTTATCTCCAAGGGAAAATCACAATCTCCATTTCCAAAGAACTCAGAGAAATCAACGGAGTTATTGGAAATGATTCAGCCAGATTTGTGGGGACTAGCACGGACTGAATCGATTGGGTGAAAGCGTTACTTTGCCACTTTTGTTGACAATTATTCGAGATGGTGCATTGTTAAACTTTTGAAAGAGAAAAATGAAGTTTTAGATGCATTCAAAAAAGTCAAAACTTTTATTGAAAATCAGACAGGGAAAAAAATGAAACTTTTGCAGTCAGATAATGGAAAGGAGTAGACCGGTAAGAATTTCAGTGAATCCTTGAGGAATAATGGAATTGGACGCCGATTGATTGTAACACACACACCCCAATTGAACGGAGTCGCAGAGCCAATAAATCGGACATTGGTAGAAATGACACGATGTCTCTTCATTCAGGCTGGACTACCAATGAAGTTCTAGGGAGAGGCGTTGATGACTGCTTGTTATACAAGAAATAGATGTCCTTCAAAAGCTCTAGATGGAAGAACTCCATACGAAGAATGGATGAGAGAAATCCCAGATGTGAGTCATTTTCAAGAGTTCGGTAGGGAGGTTTACGTTTTGGATCGAGACCCTGTAAGGAACAGAAATAATAAAAATGATAAGCGAATAAATAAACAGATAAATTGAATAAATATATCGAAAATAATGGGAATAACGAATTTATTTGTTATTCCCCGCAAGGGAAATCTCAAACCACAGTTATGAAGGAAGCGCTCGAGGCGCAGTCAAGAGCGCGATTTCAGTGTACTGGAACAGTGCACTTCGGACAGCCCTGGCTGTCCGTGGCGAAACTTTTTGAACGCGATAGTGAGCAGCATTTGCTATAGTTCATTCTCGTAATTTGAGTACTTCATTCGAGTTGCTAATTGACTTAGTCAGTAGTAGAAATTTACCTGTCGTAGGAATGGAATCTTTTGGATACCGGAGAACAGTTAAAACCTCGAAAATGCAGATAAACAGTTAAAACCTCGATAAAAGAAAAACCTCGAAATTCAGATACACAGTTAAAACCTCGATAAAAGGAAAACCTCGAAATTCAGATAAACAGTTAGAAACCTCGAATTTTAAAAAAACTGGAAAATCAGATTTTACGGAATAAGAATATACTGATAATGAATCGTGTGAGTCTCATCATTCGACCCTGAATAGATGAAGCAACATCTTTTAATCAATATTTTTAATTAAACATCTGCGAGAAAGATTCATTACAATCCAGCGGAGGGAAAATTAGAACCTCGAGCGAAGAAAGGCATTTTCCTTGGATATTCTGATGTATCAAAAGCCTACAGAATTTGGACACCGGAAGAAAGAAAAAATCGACGTTGCTCGAGACGTGAAATTTTTGGAGAGAAGAAAAATTTCATCGAAAGAGGATGATGAACTTAGGAATCTAGAAGACCAAATTAATAAGATTGATTTTCCAATCAGCAAACGACAATCTCAAACTCGACATGAAAGAGTTAATGAAGAGGAGCTGGAACAACAATGATGATCAACAAAATGTAGAGCATCAACCAGCAGCTGACGATATACAGGAAGAACGTGGACAACAGTTTAAAAATAATGCAGATCACGAGGAACCTGTAGAAGCAGCTCAATTGACAAGAGGTAGAGGAAGACTAACTAAAATCAGAACTGGTTTGAGGGGAAGACCTAAACTACAGTATCATATGGCTCAAAATATTGAGACAGTTGATGAAGGTGATGAATTTGGTGGACTAGCAGACATTCCTATACGAAAAGCTATGAGAGGACCTGATTCTGAAGAATGGTTCCAGACTATGACTCTGGAACTGAAATCAATCGTGGAAAATGACACCTGGATTTTTGTCGATCGACCGAATCAGCCAGTCATCAGTAGTCGCGTCATCCTAAGGAATAAATACAACGCCGATGGTACTCTGGAAAGCAGAAAAGCCAGGGTCGTGGCCAGAGGATTTCCCAGCGCCCCGGAATATACTTCGGAGAAACTTTACACCAGTGGCACGCTACAGCAGTATACGAATCATCACATCACTTGCAGCTCAACCTGGAATGACAATCAGACAATACGATGTGACAACCGCGTATTTAAATGAAATTTTGGAGGAGGAAATTTCCACGGAAGTGCCAGAATACACGGGAGAAACATTGGAAAGAACCATTAAAAATGAGCCAAGAACGAGTGAAATCAGAAAAAAGGCTGAACAACTTCTGAAAGACTTTGAGGGTGGAACTAAAGTTTGCTTGATGAAGAAAGCACTTTATGGCCTCAAACAAGCTGGACGCCAATGGTTTCTCCGATTAAGAGAAGAATTTAAAAAATTCGAATTACATCAATCCAAATTTTGGATGCATATACAAATGCGTATTGTATTCGGGACGAGCGGGAGATATATTCCTGGTGGCCATTTATGTAGACGACATCCTGACTATCTCAAAGAATCACAACAACATTGAGGAGTTTCAAAAACACCTGAATAGTCTAAGAGTAATAATTTATCATCGGCGAATGACGATATCAAGAGATGATAAGGGCGGATGATACCTTATTTTGGCTAGAGTTTCGGAACTTGAAATTTATGATCCACGATTGCCACCTCCTAGCCAATCGCGTCACGACACCTCGCTCACCACCTCGGCACCACGTTCACATCGACATGACTTCACGTCTAGGTTTTGGGATCCCATTGATAAATTTGGACACACATGTGAATCCACATTACCATCGACTCAATCTCGAACACCTATCGACTCAGTGCACAACTCGATCCACTCTATCGAGTGGTCCGCCAGGGTAGGCCAGATATCGCACCGGCAGTGAGTTATTTGAGCCAGTATAATTCTTATTATGATTCTACACATTGGGCAAAGGGGCAGAGGAGATTGGACTTTCATTCAGGAAGAAGAGAGAGCCATTGAAAGGCTACGTCGATGCAGACTGGGCGAATTGCCTTGATGACCGGAGATCGTACACCGGATACGTTTTCTTATTGGGTTGATCACCTATATCATGAGAATCAAGAAAACAATGCACAGTGGCTTTGTTGTCAACAAAGGCAGAGAACATGGCACTCACAGAAGCAGCAAAAGAAGCCCTTTACCTGAAAAGATTTTTGCAAGAACTCTGCTTCAATCACTTGAACCATATCATCGTATTGAGTGATAATCATGGAGCACTGAAATTGGCGAGAACTGCAGTTTTTCATAATCGCACAAAACATATCGATGTGAGGCATTTCGTCAGAGAGATTTTAGAGGATGAAGATAACTTCAAAATCAGTTACATCCCAACAAATAAAATGGCTGCCGACGTTTTGACAAAAGGGTTACCTCGACCAAAGCATCACAAATATCTCGAACTTCTTGGTATTGGAGAAAGCAAGAAGTAAAGTATAATACTTTACAACTTGAGGGGAAGTGTTGAAAAGAAGAAGTTCAATATGTCGAATTGTTTTTGTTTAGAAAGAATTGAATATCACTGGTTTTTTTTGTTAATCACTTTTATCTTTGACAGTTCTGACATATGTACCAATAAACTTAATAATTAATGTAAGACAATTTCTTTATAATATTCTTGGGAATATTCACTTCAAAAGAAACAATTTTCTCAAATATTCAAAAAAACGACTCGACTAATTTCATTTTTTTTTTGTTTCAAACTATTCGTTACAGTGTGCCCTATTGAAATCACCCACGCGTTCGATGAAAAATATGAAGAAATTTCCCCGTCCATTTGGAAGCCAACCAACAATTAAATTTATGGCAAAATAAAATTAAAAAAAAATACCATATGAAGTAAAAATAATACGTCTTTGTTGGATTTCGGGGGTTTTCCCCGAGTTCAAAATTCACTCTTTTCGAGTTTTTATATTTCCGGATTTAGGAAATATTTATTTCTTTGTTGCTGGGGGACCTTTCCTTTATGTGTTATGAAAAAAAGGGAAGTCCCGAAGGGAGTTTCTCATTGCGGGTTTTTCCCAAAATACATCTGGCCACCAGAGAGAGTCAAGAAAGAGAAAAATCCCAGGGTTGAGAGTGGAAGGAGAAATTATATTGCCCTCTGGAGAGGAGTTCAATGTGGGCCTTACGAGTAATGTTTAGTTAGTTCGTTGTAAGTCTTCGTTCAGTAAAGTACTTCTTAACTGTCTAGAGTCTTATAATTTTTATAATAATTCTCAGTCTTGAAAATTCTCCAAGTGTTTATTTATTTCGATGATAATATGTCGCAATTAAAGTATTTGAAGATCTTCGGTTCAACTGTTTATGTCCATGATAAAATTCCAAAAGGGAAATTCGATGAGAAATAATGGAAGGCTATTTTAGTTGGATATGAACCGAATCGATATAAAGTGTGGGAGAGAGCGCAAAATTTGCTGTTGTCAGGGACGTCATAGTGGATGAAGTCGATTTTGTGAAATCGAGACCGTCTTTGGGGGATAATGAGAGAAAAACCCATTCAATGGAGGAAGATCCTCATGAAATTAAAAGTGGTGAGACACCACAAGTGGTTGACAGCCAAGTTGAGCTGTGGGATGAGGTAAAAATAAAACGACTGTATAGACGTGTGTCCTCTAACATCCGATGTAGAAACCTCCTCTTCTCAAGCGAACCCTAGGATAAGTGATAGAATTAAAGATTTACCGCCGATTACATACGATGAAGTAAATATGCCAGAAGATTGCGTTTTATCAGCGCAATCGATGTCCAATCAAATCCCGAAAATATTTGAAGAAATTAAATTCCGCGGAGATAGCCATGAATGGGAAAATGCAGTGAAAAATGAATTAGACTCTCTAGTGAAGAATATCCCGAGTGGAAATTTCGATCAGGTCCAGATCAGGATTTGATCAGGTCAGCCCTGATGATAGATCAGGATCTGATATGGTAACTGGATCAAATCCTGATCAGTCATGTAACGCCGATTTTAATCCGGATTTGATCAGGTCAACAGATCAAGACCGGATCATATGTCTGGTTCCACACTGGATCAAGTCGATTATTCCGGACTGGATCAAGTCTGTGGTTCCGAACTGGATCAAGTTTATGGTTCAGGACCAGATGCAGCCTATAGGTTTACCCTGGATCAGGTCACGCTAGTCCAGTCCAGATCAATTTGTATGAATATAAATACCATCAGGTTTGTAACATTTCATTTTAATACTTTCTTTTCTTTATTTTAACTGTTTCTTTCACTACATATTTGAATGTTAAACAAAGTTAAACTGATATCACACATGATAATCAACAACGATGAATCAACTGATAATAAATCTTATACTAAGATTGGATAATTGTTTTGGTATCTGAGATCCTTCTTCCTGCAGACGTCAAACTTTACTTACTGAATATGTTGAACTGATATTAGAATCAAACATTAAGCTGAGTGGCATCTCCGTCAGGGGTTTTTTTTTCGGATTTGATATTGTTGATTGCGTAACTCAAAGCTGTCTGGATGTCAGCGTCCTTGACTTGGGGTAATCCATGTCTTGCTGCTTCTTCTGCTATTTGACCTGAGGATGGAGCAATTTATTGATGAATTAACCATAAGTATATATAGGGAAAACAATTGAGGATTAGTATATCAATACTATTGTTCCCAAAGAATGGGAATTATTCATACAATGCGAAAATGAATACTGGAGTAAAAATATGGAAAGTACTATTATTTTTAGAAATGATAATAAATTGTGATCTGTGAACGTAAAAATTACCTGTTATGCATTTCCACAAGGGTGAATTAATGAGCAGTTCTTTGTTTGCAACTTTTTTTTGGGCAGTATAATGATTGAAGATATTGACATGTACCAATATTCTTAATATTGCAGCAATACTGAACTGAAGTTTCGTTGTCAAATTAATTTTAGGTTTGATTCCATGACACTGTGAAAGACAAAGCATCATAAATATATATTTATATAGAAATAATACGTCAACATTTTCAGTTTATTTTTTTTACAAAATTCGCACATTACAGGCATTAGTTTTTAGTCAAATTTTTGGAATTAAGAATGTTCCTAAAAATTGGGTAAACAACTGAAAATGTACGAGAGGAATTATATGGATAGCTGTTTTTTCTTCGTATTGAGTACTTACTATGGAGTTACGAAAATCAGCATCTCTTTCTAGTTTAATATTGAAATCCTGAAATTCTTCTAGCGTAGCACAAAAATAGTCTTGCAAATTATCGATTGGTCCATGATTCACCGAGGGTACAACTGTTTCTTTTAATTGGTCTTTAATATCTCCGATGCCAGACAGAACTTTCACCAACTGTGACTGGATCTGCCCAACAGCTGATGTTAAATCACGAAGTTGTTTTTTGAGAATTGCCTGGGAATTACTATCATCAGCTTGGTTGGTTGGCGTTAGCTCGGCATTCATAAAGGATTGGCGTTCAAGATTTTTTATATTTCCACCCGTTGGCTCTTTATCTATAACTTTTGGGGTCTCAATTATCCTTTGTTCAGTCCTAGACCTTGACAAACTTCTTTCGAGAGGTTGTGTTGCAGAGACATACCGGCCTTTTAGTGGACCTGTGGGGTGACAAACAATTTGTTTTTCCCTCAAGCAATTGAACTCAACTGGAAATTACCGATCAAAGCAGTATTTTCATATTTCAATCATCCCATTATTTGAAAATTCGAATAAACATTAATATAGTAGCAAAGTGGTAAAGTCAGACGAGTTGATTTTTCATTTCTCAATCAATACCGCATTATCTCCATAATCAGCTGGTTTAGGAGAAAATATCAGAAAATATTTTTAGTAAACGCGGAAATCTCCACCAAAAGGGATTTGTTAATATTTTCCTTTGAAATAAATCGTTAACGCGATAATTGAGGATTCTATAAGATACACAAAATATTGTCCACTGCCACTTACTCAGCACAATGATTATAAACAGAATTTTACAATATTATTTTTCATCCTCATCAGAAATGAAATCTTTCATCAAAATATCAACCTTCAATGATTTTTGGATTTGAAATTATATTTTCGACTCAGGATGGAGCCTCAATACAGTTAGTATTTTCATATTTTTATTGAATTGGTGTCATAAGTCTGAAATTTTCTTTTAAATTTCTATTGCTAAAATTTGACTTATCCTTAAATTATAGTGTGTTGATTAAACAATGCATGCATCCAGCTTACTCATATTTTCCTTCAGTGACGATGAGTATATACTGCCATGAGAACGTGCATGAATATGAGACGTACATGATCTAGAACGACCCGATTTTGATTTATCAACTTCTTTTTGATGGGGGTGTCGTTTTTTCACAGAAAGATCTGGTGAGCCTACGAAGCACCAAAAAAACATATTTATAAAATGTATCTCAGATCATTCTCTCTAATCAAGGGATTCTCTTACTACCCATATTCTCTTCGCTTTCTGATAATAAGGATCGATCATCTTCTTCAGCTTCACAGAAGAGGCGTTTCACTTTCTCACTGTTTGTCACAGTCCTCTTCTTCTGAAGTTTTTTCTTTAAATTGTCGACCTGTTTTTCTCCATATGATTCATTGGATGTAGTAAATGCAAATGGAGTCTCTTTTCATTTCATTAGTCGTTCTACACCCAATTCGTAAGAATCTAATTGAAAAATAATGAATGATTGAAAGATTTCAGTAGTGAAGTAGTCAACAAATATTCCATCCAGATTTTTCCTCACCTGCTCCTCCTCTGATCTGAACTGGATATAGTTTCCATGATCTGGGTGGTGATTTACCCTGCTTCAATAACGAGGTGGTAAATTTACCCATCCCAGGATCATTACCGTTGTGAAATTGACATTTGAATCCCTCAGAATCACCATCCCAGCTAATCCATTTATCCAAAGCTAAGTCAAATACTCCGTCCTCTTCATCCGCATAGAAGTGAACCAAATAGTACTTATACTGCTTTCCTGGATATTCTGTCTGAGAATTTCAATAGTTGACATTCATACATAATTCACACATAATTAGTATTCAAGTGGTAGAAAGGATAAGTCGATTCTCCATATTTTGTTAAATATTGTATCATCACAATCATGATCAATTTTCAAAAAAAAAATTAAAAAACGTTTGTTGAAGATTTTCGCGTCTGTGACAAAGTCTTCTGATATTTCCTCACAATACCATTGATTATTGAGATGACTGAATATTTATTTAGAACTCAAACATTTCTCATTTTCTAACCTCCAAATATCACAAGGACTTCAACTGCATCTGTAGTCATCAATTTTTCTGATCTTTGGATTGTTAACATACTGAACGCAATATCTCATATTATATAATCATTATTCAATGTTAAACTTACCGATTTTGTCATTTTGCTGCGTTCCAAAAGTGTATTCCCACAATACTGGATAACCTCAACACCACGTGTATACGAAGATGCTTATGGACACTCACCACACTAGTACGAAGCCTCACTGTTCAACGCGAATTTACACTTTGCTCAGACTTTAACGAGCCAACTTATCAGTTTTTAAAAAGAACAATCCCTTTGATTTCTTTACTTTGAAAAATAAAATATTGCCATCAGCCATGTATGCTACCGGCCGGCATGGGACTACAGTAGACTCTCGTTAGTTGCACTCTCGATAGTTGCCACTCTTTCCCCTGATTCGCGTTTCAGACGCTCGAGCGATACCCCTACTTCGCCTCCGATCGATATCGTAACCAAAATACGAAAGAGCCATGCTTGTGTACCACACACACGTTGTTTCCCCGGCACAAGTATTTCTTCAAATGTTTTTTGAATAATTTTAAGTGAATTTAATTAGTAGACTGGCGATTTAGTTAAATTATCAGGTGCCTTCCAATTGTTAAGTTATCTACCTTTCAATACTGTGTATGATGTTGCGGAAGATAAGAAATAAATGTACAAATCTGGAATGAATTTCATTTTATTCGACACCGAAAAAGAAAAGACTTTTTGTCCCTTTAAATTTCCCAGAATTGAGACCGAGCGGCGCGCAGGAGTGGGGGCCCGAGTTAGTTGCCACTTTCCACGAATCGGGTACCCCTACAGCCCCTAACGCGTTGCAACTATCGAGAGTCCACTGTACTGCGTCTATCTTCGAGAGGCCCCACTGACGCCACGTCAGTGCGCGTGCCTGTTAAAATCTAGAAATTTTGATGATATATTTCTTAGTTTTTCTTCACTTCTGGCAACGTATAAACCAAATATACAAGTTAATTTAATGGTTAATCCCTTCCATTCGGAGAAAATAGCATAGCAGTTAAATTATTAAACCAATCCACATGTTTGTATTAGGATTTAGTAGATAGATTTTTCAAACTATATTTTTTACCCTACTCAAAAAAAAATAGCGAAGTAAAAAAGTTGAGTAACCTGGCAGTTTGAGTAACCTCATAATTTCTAAATTTGTAGAAAAAAAATTTTACCATGTTGATTTAGGTTAGTTTAAAAAATGCTCGCTAAAATGTAATAAGTGATCGGTTTCTCATCAGGAATCCCTGAACACATCTGAGTCGACCTTAAGTGATTTGGATCAATATCTCATCAGGAATCATTTGATCAGCCTGAAGTCAAGATGATCAGGCGAGAACCTGACCTGGCTGTTACTGGAGTATTCCTGGTCCGACGAACTGGATCAGAACGTGATCAGTATCACATCAGGAAGTACCTGATCAGACTGAAATCAAGCTGATCAAACGCGAACCTGACCTGGTTGTTCCTGGAGTATTCCTGGTTTGAGGAACTGGATCAGATTAAGATCAAGCTGATCGGACGAGAACCTGATCTGAATCGTCCATAAGTAATCTGGATTCGAGTAACTGGATCAATACTTGATCAGTATCTCATCAGGAACCATCTGATCAGACAAACCTGACTACTACCGGATCGAATACTGATCTGACCTCAGGGCGGCCTGAGGTAATGTCCACTCGGGTAATTTCCACTCGGGTAACACATGGACATTAGTTTCTAGGCCAATCAACAAAAATATAGTTGATTGCAAATGGGTCTTTGCTATTAAAACTGATGAGCACGGAAATGTAGAAAAATATAAAGTTCGTTTAGTTGCGCGGGGATTTTCCCAAGAATATCTTGCAGATTATAATGAGACTTTTGCACCGGTAGCCAGGATTACAAGTTTTCGATTGATACTAGCTTTTGCTAATCAATTTGACTTATTGATTTATCATATGGATGTCAAGACAGCTTTCCTAAATGGGAATCTTAAGGAAGAAATTTATATGAGGGTACCGGAAGGGATAAAACATCAGGAAGGTCAAAATTGTCAATTGAACAAGGCTCTTTACGGGTTCAAACAAGCGGCCCGCTGTTGGTTTGAAGTTTTTGAACAGGCTCTCAAGACAAGAGGTTTTGTCAATTCACCAGTAGATCCGTGTATATATATTTTTAATAATGGTGACATTAAGAAAAATATTTATATTGTTTTACATGTCGATAATCTAGCGATCGTAACGGGATATTTGGACATGATGAATAATTTGAAGACGTATTTAATGAAACAATTCGACATGGTTGACTTAAAGGAAATAAAACTATATTTAGGAATCCGAATCAAACGAGAAAAAGATCAAATAACGTTGGATCAAAGCTCATATATTAAAACAGTTTTAGAAAAATTCAAGATGGCCGAGTGCAATGCCGTGACGGCTCCCCTGGAGAGTCGATTAGATTATTTAGCATTAAATTCAGGAAAAATTAATGAGTCGCCATGTAGAAGTCTGATAGGGTGCCTAATATGTACGTAATGATATGTACTAGACCTGATTTGAATGCATCAATAAATATCTTGAGTAGATATACAAATAAGAACAATGATGAGTTGTGGAAATGCCTCAAGAGGATTCTAAGCTATTTGAAAGGCACTATAGACTTAAGATTGATTTATAAAAGAAAGAATTTCGAAAATGTGATGATTGGTTATGCTGATTCAGACTGGAGCAGTGATGAGAATGGAAGAAAAAGTACAACAGGGTATTTATTTAAAGTATTTGATAACTGTACAATTTGTTGGAATACAAAACGACAATTGTCAGTAGCAGCTTTATCCACTGAAGCCGAGTATATGGCCCTTTTTGAGGCAGTTAGAGAAGCCCTATGGTTAAAATCACTAGCTGAGAGCATTCAGTTGAGAATAAATGATCCTGTAGTGATACATGAAGACAATAACGGCTGTATCAGCATAGCTAATAACCCAACCAATCACAAAAGAACAAAACACATAGATATTAAATACCATTTTTCAAGAGAACAGATTAGTAATAATTTGATTGAATTGAAATATGTTTCCATAGGAGAACAGTTGCAGATTTATTCACAAAGCCATTGCCAGGACCGAAATTCCTAGAGTTGAGAACAAAACTCAATCTAGCATAAGTTTGTAAATATGTGTGTGAATGTATATATGTGTATATGAATGTATATATGTATATTGTCTAATGGTCTGAATAGGTTTTTCTGGGTTTCCCTAATCCATCGCAGCAAATGCTGGATCATATGTATTTGCCCCCAGAAAATAGTTAAGAGGTATATTAGCTTAGAAGTTTGTTGTAATTACATAGCATTATCACTAGTTGTCATTGAATATGTACGATTGAATTTTGAGGGGGTGTGTTGAATTTTGGGGTTTTCTCCCGAGTTTAAAATTCACTCTTCTAGAGTTTTTATATTTCCGGATTTAGGAAATATTTATTTCTTTGTTGCTGTGGGACCTTTCCTTTATGTTATGCAAAAAAGGGAAAGTCCCAGAGGAATTTTCTCATTGCGGGTTTTCCCCAAAATACATCTGGCACCCAGAGAGGGTCAAGAAAGAGAAAAATCCAAGGGTTAAGGGTGGGAGGAGAAATTATATTGCCCTCTGGAGAGGAGTTCAATGTGGGCCTTACGAGTAATGTTTAGTTAGTTCGTTGTAAGTCTTCGTTCAGTAAATTACCTCTTAACTGTCTAGAGTGTTATATTTTTAATCATAATTCCCAATCTTGAAAATTCTCCAAGTGTTCATTTATTTCGATCTCAATAAACCAATAGTCTTCTACCTTCAGGGACAGCTAACTGCTTATCTTATCGATTATCAATTTTCTGATAAGGTTTCCTTATATCAAGTCTCAGGGAAAATGCTCTGACATCGGTTTATCAAGTGCCCATGAGTGTCCAATACTGAAGATTGCGCAAGAAGCAGAAAAGAAAAATCGAAAGCGCATTCTCCCATCAAATTATCGTACAAAAAGACTATGAATTTTTCATCAATTAACAACGTTGCCCGTAGCAGCTACTTGCCAACAAAGAAAATGACTGAACTGGATTCAGCTATCTATTACCATGTTTCTGATCTGAAAACTGTGAAGACAAAATTTGGATTGAGCATGGTCATCACTCTCAACGCTACATTTACTGTTTTTCTGCCAGCAAGGGTGACTCGCCTTCTCCTGCATGACAGAGTAGAATTGGAGAAACTTAAAAATACTATTTCTGAGAACCGACTAAGATTCAAATATCTCGGTGAGGAAACTAAATTTGAATTCATTGATATTCTAAATGGAATCTATGTAATATAATGAGTATGGTTATCGTTAGAAGACAAGTTGATAAACATTTCTGTGTAAAAATGTACTTGTATACGTTTATCTACTCTGCATACCTATATATGTATAAAAAATATCACTCTTATTTGCCAAGATGATAAATCTGGTAAATTGTGAAAAAAATGCAGAAAATATTTTTCATTGAATAAAATAAAAATTCTAAATTATTTTTTGGGCCTTGTTTTTACACTTTTTTTTACTTCATCGTTAACAGCAAAATAACACCACAATGAAAACAAATATCAAAGTTTTGTAAGCTGAAACGCATTCAAGACGTTTATAGCGTGAAGGTAATCTTTATTAGATGCGTGTTCATCAGCCAATTTAGAATAAAACTCTTCTTTCTTGGGTAATGCAGTTCCATCTAATTTACTCCAGTCATCAATGAAATCGTAAGGGAATAGATGTTTTCGACGGGGCAAGTTCACACAAGTCCCAAATACACATTTAGTGAATAAGCGATGGACAGTTCTTTATTCACCCGAAGACCTTTTATATCAATTGCAAATGATTTTGTAATACTACGAATGACGAAATGAGCATCATAGACAGGGAGATTATGGAATACAACAGGGATTATATGAGAATCCTGCTATAAAATATTGCCACTCATGTGTGCAGCTCCACGATATTTTTCGATTAAATGATTGCGATCACGAACCTTATCAATTTTTCCCAAAGGTTTTTTACACATGTGTTATATGATAGCTGAACTGTTTTCCTTTTTCACTATTGTCTTCAAGTATTTATGCACTCTGCTGTTTGCTAGGAGCTTCATTTCGGGCGGGCGGGTATTTCGTAGGTATTTAAACCATAATCTGTTCATTTTGCAAGTAAAAGTCAAGCTATTAGCACCTTAAACTTTGATATTATTTTTCTTAAAACAAGGTTTTTTCCCCATGTGGCAGAACATGTGACCTCTCAAAATGTTCCTCATTTAAAGATGCGTCCAATACTTTATAAACTTAATAAACCAGTCAAATTGGACCTTAACCACCTCAAAAAGTCCTGACAGGCTGAAATTACACCAAAATGTAGAGAAAATTCCTCTCACCGTCATATCAAAAATGTGCACCCACACATGCAACAGAAATCTGCTTAATTAATTAAAAATTAATTAAAAAGTTGCGGCGAACGCCAAAAACTACAATATGATCAGGAGAATTTTCTGTACACTTCAATGCAATTTCAGCCTGCCAAGCCTTTTTTGGGTGGTATCAAGTATAAACGTGAGTGTTGTTTTACTGGCCTATAAGTGGATTCCTTTTTATGCGAACGTCAAATATATTTGACGATTTATTTAGTAAGATCATTCCCTATCTTTCTTACAGTCTTCGCAAAGATATTACCGATATTACAGCGCTCCTAATGGAAGTAAAATAATGAGTCTTACTTGTCAAATAATCCGCTAGATCGCTCCAGTGGACTCTATTTTTCATGGTTTATCCTCTTTGAGGGGATGGCATGCTTATTAGTATAGTAATAAATGTGGATGGAGGTTAATCTTATTTTTTGTTTCGACATTGTTCAAGTAATTAATGAAACTCACAGTGTTATGATGAGAAGTTTTATCAAGTTTTACATGAAATACTTAATTCATTTAAAAGATTGAACGTTCGTTACATGCTATGTAAGTATTGGTAATATTCATGGACAAAAATCAAGAAAATAAAAAAAAAAGAAATCAAGTAATTGTTAAATGCGATTTTATCAAATCCAAGATTGTTATCATTTTTTGGATTGCACGTGTAAAGATTTTGTACATGTTCTTGAAAGACTATCGCCGATGTTAATAAGCATTTATTGTTTTTATTTCGAATTGAAGCGTTGTATTCGTTGATTTTGATGATCTAATTTCAAACAGAAATTGATACAATGGCAGGAGATTAGGAGATCTAAGATTTTTTATGTTTCATGTAGGTTCAAATGGGTGTGAAAATCTTTTGGAAATTGACTGATCAAGTGGCTGCACTTGAAATAAATTTGAAATTCTATGAGATAATAGAAGGTTCTGTAGGATCATAGTGCTCGTCAATATATAAAAGCAAAAGTAACTATTCAAGACTTTAATAATAAAAAATAACAAGTTGGTACATGAGTACTAAATTAAATGTAACATTCAGCTGTGATTAAAATATGTCTCTGCTCTCTGAAAACTCAAAACGAACAAACTCCTCAACTCTTGCAAATCTTTTTTATTTTCTTCACTACTTTCGCCCTCTTCACTGTACTCGGACAAACACTCTATTGTCCATCTGTCTGCACATCCTGTCTCCACTGGACTTCACGTAAAAGTCCCAAAAAGGCACGTATGCCATAAAACCGTCTTTGAATCCCTCTACTACACGCTAAACTATTAACATTAGGAAAAACTAGAAAAGATACAAAATAAAAATATAACCTCAACTTTACGTTCCACAATGGACTTATTCAATTGACAGAAAATCTTTGTTCTAAATTCTAAATGTCTTTTATTAAGACTAAAAGTTATTTTCCTATCCATCTTAAAAATCTTAAGACCCACAGTTCATTGAAATATTTCGAGCGAGTTAAGGATGTTCTGCCGATATTTTGTTATTTTTCATATTTTTCTGAGATTTATTGAAAACTATTGGTCGGATTGGGATATGAACATATAGCGTTTGTTTGTTACATCATGATTTATCCTTTCACAAAGTTTCATCTTGATATACCAATTTTTAGAACTTTTCACTAAAATTTATTGATTTTTTATTAAATTTTAGTGAAAAGTTACAACAATTAGTGTATCGGGATGAAACTTTATGAAAGAGTCAATCATGATGGAACGGACAAATACTATATTTTCATATCCGAATCCGATCGATAGTTTTTAATAAATTTCAGAAAAACAGGAAAAATAACAAAATACCAGTAGAACATCCTTAAAAGGGCCTTCAAAAACACAACCAATTTTCCGAGAAGTTTGATATGCATTCTGTATTGGAAAGCTGTGTGCCCATTTTTGGAGTTACTGAAGAGCATAGATTTTTTTAAAATTGAATTTCGATTAAAAAAATGAAAAAGTCTGATAATCTAACTAAAAGAACGTAGCCCAAGTAGTAAAACTTTGCAGGTGTATTAAACGATAAAAAACAAATTTTTCGCGTAACAAACAATTTCAATGGTTAAGAGAAATTATTAAAAAACTAAGAAAAATGCATTTTGTCACGCGCAACTCGAACATGCGGGAACGTCGCAACTAGAACGGAGGCTTTCGCCGTTAATTCAACTGTCTCTGGAGGATCAGAGACTCAAATATTCATGGCAGTGTCTATTCACACGCGCCACGGTAACTTTTACCGTGGATCCACGGTAATTTTTGTTCTGGATCTACACCATATGGTAACTATTATCCACGGTGAAAAATTACCGTGGATCTACAGTGATTCCCAACAGGCGCGGGTCTGCCGTTGTTTCAATTAGAAAATCGATTGAAGAGGTTCCTGCTCAGGATCTCCAGATAACACTATTGGAGTTCCACACCACCTCATCTCGGGATTCTATTGAAGATGGGAATTCCCCTATTCCTAATTCTGGGACAACTCTCACACATAAAGAAGAAAGGCCTAAGACTTCTCATTTAAACGCTGGCTACAACGAAGCACCATCCATACGCCATAGAACTCACACTAAGCTTAACCAGTTCGTGATTGAAGCTCTTGCTGAAATCAAAGATGTCCGAAAGGTCGGGAAGTATAGAGGAGCCTCAAAAGAACAAAGAACTGCCGTGGCTGGGGTGCTACTGAAGAATGGAGAAACCCCGAAATATTCGCCAGAACCACATCAAGGACCTCGAGGTAGAGCTCGAGGAGTGACGAGAAGTCAAGAAACATCCAGGGATTGTGAGGTAGCATAAAATTGTGGAACACCTCGATGGCGAGGGTCAGGAAAATGGGCAGCGGATAAAGTTGGTGGGATTCCTTTTAGGAAAAAAAGTGATGACATCACAGTTGAGATCATGTTAAAATGGTTGTTGAAGTCAAACTATGTGGAAGGGTGAGATTTCACAATATTAAAAATTAAATGCACCGAAATTGATACTGCCGACCTGAGTGATTCCTTCATCGAAACTGAAGACGATCACATCCAACTTTTGACGTCTTTGATGGAAGAGGATGCCTTCAAGACATTTTTGACTGGTGTGAAAATTAAAAGAGAACGAGATGATTACAAATGTGCTGCATATAAGGAAAAACATCATCTGTCTTGTAAAAAAGCCGTTCGTTGTGACGGATGCCATTTGTGGGATCATTGGATATGTGCGGAGGTAAAGAGGAAACCGATTGGTGATTGAATTTGACAATCAAAGCTGAAATTGTTATAAAATCGGTTGTGGCAGTTGATATATAATAAAGTGTAAAAGTCCACTTTTCATTCACTGAAATGAAAAATATTCGGTAGATATGGTAAAAGTGTTTCTAACCTCGTGCGGTCATATCACCCGCATTCATCTCGTCATCTACACCTCCCATTAACTAAAATAATATAATCCGACACGAGTGCAGAAGACTTGTTTTTGGGTCGAGGAAGGATTATAACACGACCCAAAGCGAAAAGTTGTCCACACAGCTTGACGAAAAATAGTTTTTCTCACTCGTATCAAAATACATTATTTCGTGTTTATGATCACCGCGAATCTACGCTAGATTTTTTTTCAATTTAAAGAACTCGTAGCATCACGGTTTATTCTGCACTGCATGTTTTGCTGTGGATCTAGGGTAAAAATGACAGATCCTTGCACATGTTAAAAATCCCAGCGGACCCACTGTATTATTACCGTGGATAAAAATGGCGGACCCCGAGTCTGTTGGGAATCAGCGTGGATGCACGGTAATTTTTTACCGTAGATCTACGGTAATAATTACCATAGGGCGTAGATCTACGACAAAAAATTACCGTAGATCCACGGTAAAAGTTACCGTGGCGCGTGTGAATAGACACTGCCAATATTCTTACATAAATAATAAACATATTCAATTATAAAATCCAGCTTTTAATTTACTTATTAATAGAACAACGAATCACACCGACAAAATTGTTTGTTTGGAAAGCATCACTTTCCCCACAAATTCAATAAGTTTTTCAATAGTTTTTATCCGGGATTTAATTTCTTTACGGGAGCGGAGAAGTGTCTACGTGGTTTGTCCGCGGGAGATTTTACGCCTGGTTCCTTTTCTCTTCTCGGTAATCCTACTATCTCGGCCTTCCTATTGTTCCTCATTCAAACTCTCACTCATTTCACTGTATCCCACCTGCCTTTACAGATACATACAATTCTCCCTCACTTGATAATCTTTTATTATATTCTCAGTTTGTGCGGGTCATGTATTTTGGGTGTTGGGTTTTGGTTTTGGATCGCATCCCACTCTTCCAACACTCCCTGATTCCTTCAGCTCGGGAAACATAATTTTCAAATTCTTAATGCTTATTCTAACCAGAGTTAATTTTTTTTTGAATTTCTACGGATTTCACAGGAGAAGAATTTTCTTTATTCTCTGCGTGATTAGTCTATTTAATGACTTGTAGTGCATACGTAATTAAATATGAATTTTCCAACAATTGTTCCCTGGTCAAGTTGAATCCCTTTAGAACTTTAAAGAGAATTTTATGTGCACACCCAATAATGATATCGAGCGATTCAACCAATGTGCTCAATGTCCAAGTTGTTTTTCGCAAGAATGTCATATAATCTAGATACATCGAAACGTATATTGTTCACCAATAAAAGAGGACATTTTTAATTGAAACTCTGTACATCAACGAAAATTAGTCACTGCACTGAGCCGAAACTATTGATGCTGCTTTGCCATACAATATAAGAATTCCATGACAATTGATTAAGCCATAGCACAGCAGTAGCTGATAGTGCAATTTGTTGTCTGGGGGTGATTTACCTACGGAATTCATTTTCATCACATTTCGCAGCAATTTGCAGGATTTCACTTTCTCTTCGCAAGCTCCAGGTTTCAACATCAAGTATAATGAAAGGTATTTTGCCTCCACCGAGTTGATCATGCTCAAGTTCTTCCTGAGGTTCTGGCGCAGCGGGGCGACTCAACAAACCACTGTTGCTCTTATATATAAATCGTTCATTTGCTTCTCTGCGATGCCGCAGAATATTTCACTTTTTTTTTCGATGGGAACGATGTTGCTTGAGCTTGTGACCATTCATAAGGCTCTTAGTGCCTAACGATGGATCTAGCCATGCATTTTGAATGATAGTTTCCATTTAGAAGCGACATTTTTTCAGTGATGTCTTTGATGTAAGTAGCCCCAAGATTTTTGGACCCATTACACAAGTAAATCGATTATCAGCTGATACTTTTACTTGCCATTTCACAATTCAGACTCGTTCCTGTTGCTTGACTCGGATAATTTGTAAAGGCTTTTCTTCATATTGTTCATATAAAACTGGCTCATGAGACCCTCTAGGTATGGTTGAATGCTCATAATTATCTGAATTCTTCATGAAACCACATCATGGATCACGCTGTTGTGATCGTGAAAAGAATGATGAGATGTAGCACGAATAGCTAATCCCATAGCAGAGACATCCCCTGTATTTTGAGATGGAGTGTAGCAAGAACATCTGTACAAATAATTTTGTCAAATCTTTGATTTTTTTTTTCAGTTCCATACTATTATTTTTTAACGTCTTTTGCAAGGTGATTTTCATCAGATTTCTTCAAGATTGGCTGTTCACTTGTATTACGAGAGGAGGCAAATGTCAAAATTTCATCGTCCCCAATCCGGCGACTTTAAAATATGACTATCTTCGAACAGCTTTGTCCCCTATACGGGTTCTATGGCTTCAGCGGAACAGTAAAAGTTCAACCCACAAATATGGTCCACTGGTAAGGTTTTCAGACGGCGATTCCTTTTCCAAAAATTCTTCTTAATTTTTCCAGAATAGGGTAGATCATAGAAAGCGTTGAATAAGATATCAACCAACGTTATTCGAAACTTTACCATGAAGCGATCAACAGTGAATGTATAAAATCAAAAAAAACCTTTTCAAAATATCGCCAT